CTGCTTTTATGTGAACTTCTGCAGACTGAGAGCTTCTGAGCCCCTCCCCTTACATGCTGGGTATAAAACTCTGAAACTCCCTGAACTCGGGGTTCAGGGGATTGATTGATTACAGCAAAAGCTGTGCCCTCTGAACCTGGCTGCAGCCAAATAAAACTGTCTCCTGCTGTCTTCGGTCCTTGCCTCGTCTGTCCCTAGAACACTCCACAGTGCTTCATTCTCAGATTCTGCTCTCTGCAACTACAGAAAGCCAGGAGCTGCCCTGAGATGATACTGGAGACAACTCTGGTTAAAGAAACAGCAGAGCTGATCTTAGCCAGGACTCACTTGCCGTGAAACCTGGACCAGGCATTGAGCATGAAGTACCTTTTTTTAAGCCTCAGATTATCTTGTGGAATAAGTCAACATGCCCATTTTACAGATGAGGAAATGGAGGCTTAGGGAGTTTCAACAGTGGTTCTCAATTTTTTTTCCTTTTGAACGCACTTTCAATCTTAAAAAATGGTGAAGGGGAAAAAATAATAAAAAAATATTTTTTTTTTTTTTAAAAAAAGGTGAAGGATCAGGCCAGGCATGGTGGCATATACCTGTAACTTCAGCAACTTGGGAGGTTGAGGCAGGAGGACCCCAAATTTGAGGCCAACCTGGGCAATTTAGCAAGACCCTGTCTCAAAACTTAAAAAAAAAAAAAAAAGAAACAAACAAAAAAGAAAAGGGTTGGGGATGCAGCTCAGTGGTAGAGTGGCCCCGAGTTCTATTCATGCTTCCAATAAAAGAAAAAAAAAAAAAGAAAAGGAAAATGATGAAGGATTCCAAGGAGCTTTTATTTTTGTGGTGTGTATTTACCCATACACTAAACGTTAAAAAGTGTTTATTAATTCATGTAAAATCAACAATGAAAAACGCGTATGTTACCATAAATAACATTAGACAGAAGAATGGCAGTGTATGGATGTTTGCAGATCTCTCTAAGATGCACCACAGAGCCTCTCAAAATCTCTTCTGTATGCTCAGGAGAGAATGAGTGTGGACAAGGAGAACACATCTTAGTATCTTTAGGAAGACAGTTTCGACCATGTGGAGCCCCTGAAGGGGACTTGGGGCATCTTAGGGATCCCGGACCATACTTTGAGAACCGTTGGTCTGGGAAACTTGCCTGTGAGTGCAGAGCTGGAGTGAAGCGGTTTGGCCAGGATGCTACCCCAGGCTTATCCGACCACCCCCTGGGTGTGTCCTCTGAGTCACTGCTTCACACCCAGGGCAGCCTCATCTGCCCTCTCTGGGCATCAGGGCCTTCTCAATAAAATGCAAGTGGAACTCCCGGTGGCCTAGAGCCCTCCAACTCCGACACTTCCTGAGTGCCCAGAGCTGCTGTGCACCCTGGGAATCCTCGGCTTTCAACCTTCAGTGGGTGGAACAGCAAGAGGGCATCCAAAGGAACCAAGTGGGGGTCTCCTTCCATTCCACACCCCCTTGAGGACACAGCTCTGCGAATCCCAAGCTTTTCTAAGTGTCTCGCTTGTCCCCGGCTTGTGGCATTACCAGTTTCATTGGTCGGTGTCCAGGGCTGGTGGACTGGGACGGCGAGACGGTCCCTATTTCTGCTGTGTGCTTTCAGACAGAGTTCTGAAGATGGACCTCTCGGAATTCCATTCCTCGTACCCACCACCATAAGCCCTCGTGAAACTATTGAGCAGAGAAAGGCTTACAGAAGGTATTTCAAGTGGCGGAAATAGAGAGTATCAGGGACTCTGGAAAGTGTTCTTATTAATCTACCTTTTGATATTGTTGCAATAGTGGGGATTGGAGCTGGTGGCACTCTACCACAGGGCTACATCCCCAGCTCTTTTTATTTTTTTATTTTCTGACAGGGTCTCAGTAAGTCACCTTCAAATTTTGAGGCTGTCCTAAAATTTGTGATCCTCCTGCCTCAGCCTCCTGAGTAGCTGGGATTATAGGCATGCGACACTGTGCCTGCCTCAATCTAGCATTTTAACTGGAATTCTTGACTCAGTCTCATCTCGCTCCTGTTCATCCTACACATTGATCATGCCAGATTAATCTCGAACGTTTTACCTGTCACTCCTCTCTTCTCAAAAACCTTCCCTGGCTCCCTCTTAGTTGAAAAGGAATATTCTAGACTGGTATTCAAGGCCCATTATCACAGGCTTGTGTTTTTTCCCTAAACCAAATTTTCCATATTCCCCTCCACGCACCATGCAGCTGGCTCACTGCTCCTTACTGTGTCTTTGCAGTTTCCTTCCCCCCTTAAATCCACTCTCGTTCCCTAACATTGCAACCACTTCCAGAATCCAGGCCTGACTGTTCCAGCCCACAGGGGCTCTGGCGCTTCAGATGCCTAGAGAATTCTATCAGTACACTGTCCTTGTTCTTTCTCAGAAACACCTCGGGAGCTGGGCATGGTGGCTTACCCTTGTAATACCAAATTGGGAGGCTGAGGCAGGAGGATCCAAAGTTCAAGGCCAGCCTTTGAAATTTAGTGAGACCCTGTTTCAAAATAAAATAAAAAGGTGTGGGAATGTAGCTCAGTGGTAGAGTACTTGCCTAGCTTGTATGAGGCCCCGGGTTCAACCCCTAGTACCTTAAAAACAAAATGAAAACTCAATAACCAACAAACTTTGGTCCCTGAAGGAGGGACCAGAGTTTCAGTCCTTTTAACTAGTTCCTCTGGTCCCATTGTCCACTAGGTGCTTTCTGGTGGTTGGGGCTTGTTGGCTAGATCCTTATAGGTACAGGGGCTGGATCACCAGACAGACCTGACTGAGGGTGGCAAGGAGAAGCCACAGGAGGAGACAATAGAGGTAAGACCTGAGTCACCAAGTCAGGGCAGTCACTGTTGATCTTCTACAAGAGAATACCACACAATCAAGCTAGTGGCATTTTAGAGAGAAAAGACTTCCACTGGAGAAAGAAGTACTTTCTTAAAGCAGGGGATGTCTAACTACCCAGGAGGACTAACTACCCAGTTAATTTGAGTTGGAGGGAGAGGGGTCCTTTATCTCCCTGGATGCTTGTTCACTCACCCTTTGCTGCCATCTGGTGGTCATAAGCTTACAATGCAGTCTGGCTGGTTTGTCATTAAGTCCCAAATAATAGAAACTGAGAAGGCGGGGTGCATAAGGAATTTGGGGATTATGGAGATCCTGGAGGATGGGAAAAAATTGGCCTCAGCTCTATGTGAGGGTGACTTACAGTATCTTGGAAGTATGGAACACGGCCCAGGAGTTTTTAAATCCATATTCATAGCTACTAAATGAAGGAATATACTCACTAGAAGGAGTTTTAGAGATCTGTTCCTCCCCACCCCCCACCCCACTGCTCTGTCTCCAGTTGGTATTTCCAACCAGAGTTTTGTGAGATCTGGTCCCACCCATGTCACCAGCCTCATCTTGATGCCTCTTTTTTTTTGACAGTTCGCCCTCTTACCTGCTGCAGGACAGCAGAGAAATATTTGGAGGGTGTCAGGAGCGCTCAGGCTCTTTCTGAAGCTCTGAGGCAGGCACACAACTAGGGTGGCCCTCCTTCCCAGGCACGGATGCGTGGAAACCCCGCCTGCTCACGTCCAGGTACCCATCTCCGTTCCCCTTTCTTTCCTAAGCGGTGTTCAGGATGGAGAATGTCTGGGACAGCCAGCTGCAGAGCAATGGGAGCTGGCTTTTAACAAAGGGGGCCCAAGCGGCTAGAGGCGAGAGGCATCTGTCTCTGTCCTTAGTCACACAGCTTTCCTATTCCATCTGCCAGCCACTTGTGGTCTGTTTGCTGTTGAAGCTCGTCAACCCCCTAAACCACCACCACTACCACCACCAGGTTCTCGAAGAGCTGTGGCAGGGAGCCCTGTCTGGGGTAGATACCCCTTGGCCCGGTAGTAACACCAATATCTCAGCACAAGGGACCAATTTCTCAATTTCTATGGGTTAAAGTGGAAGCAAAAGACCCATGTTTGAGATACACAGAGTGCATGGTCCAGAATCCAGGAGGGACTTACTCTTATGGAGGGTTGAACCCAGTCCCATGATTCTAAGGAAAGAGGAAAACTTCTAAAGAAGGAGCTATCGGTTTGAGACGTCCAGAGTCAAGTGTATCTAAAAGTGGAGGTCCGGGGACACCTGATTTTATGCTTCTAAGAGGAAAGGTTAGCAGTAGGGTTGGGCATAGAGGTTTATCACCTAGACAAATACCCATTTTTTTTTTTAAAGCAAATGGTCAAATTCGCCTATGGTAACCCAAACCCAATTGCATGAGAGTACGGGTTTCAAAAAAAATTGCCTCTTTAATTTGGACTTCATTTGAAAAGAGAGTTAATTTGTTCCAAATTCAGAAAAGATAAAAAAAGAAAAAATTATCACTTTAGAATATGATATTTTTAAATTTTGCTAACCCACTAAGTTGGGAGGATGAGAGAAAAGTACTTGGTGTTTCAAATCATTTTTTTTTTTGAGAATAAATACTATTTTATTTCCAGCATTAAGTGAAGAGGGGGAAGGGCTTTATCTAGACGGCAGGGTAGGATAAGCTGCTGCATTTTAAGGACTTCCCAGAAATGAGCTTCCGGTATTGCTTCACTGTATGGTTTTAGATGTGTGAGCTCTCAATGATTTCGATATTCAATAGTCAACACGTGCCCAAGTTAAAAAGGAAGATTTGAGCTTCGCAATCAATTTTTAACTCTCCACAGATTCTTTTTCCTCTGTTAATGCAGAAATCAAGAGCCATTTATAATTTCAGTCTAGAAGATCCAGAGAGAGAAGATATTCAAATTTGGAAGCTGGGTCAAGCCAAAGAACAGCAGGATAAGTGTGTGTTACGAGAGGGGAGGGGGGAGAGGACGGGAACGAGGCCTGGGGGCAAGGTCTGGCGTTGGGGGGACTGAGTGGCTAAAGCAAGATCTTCTTTTCCAGGTTCTAGCCTCCAAGGTGGCTCTGCCTCTTGGGCCTGCCAGGTCTCCACCTCAATGGAGTCTCCACCGGGAGGCTAGATCTTCAGGCCAGCAGCGTTGCCTCCTGCTGTCTGTTCTTGTTGCTATTGCCTTTGGTGACCTTCCAGGCCAGGATGAGTAGGGTGATCAGAGTCATCAGGAGAGGAGAGAAGAAGAGAACTTTTACTAGGTAGACAGGATCAGATATGGCAGTGGCGAATGTACCCTTGTCCCATGAGAAAACTGGGAGTTGTGGAGAAGACATAGGTTCTCCAAGACAGCGAGACTGGTGGTTAAGCCAACTGTCCACATGACCAGAAAAAACCAAAACCAAAACCAAAAAAAAAAACACCAAGAGAGCCAGGTTTGCTCTTTGTGTGATCCTGGGAGTGGAGTTGGAGCGGTATCCAAGTATCTACTGATCCTGTTCCTCACATGGGACCAGTTTCCTTTGGATTTGCAGAGAAGGCAAAGGAAGGAGTTTGCTCAGCAAGGTTGACCCACTGCTTCCCAGGCCAATGGTCCCGAGACAATGGTTGGTAAAGCTTGTGGGTATTGGCTGGAGTTCCCAAGGCTTTGTGATGTCACTGAGGTCTGAGCTAAAGGTTCTAGTCCAGACACCTCTGCACTCATGGATGACCTCCAGATTGCAAAAGGAGTTCTCCAACTGCCTGTGGAAAGACGGTGTCCCTTCAATCCTCTTTTTCAATAATTTTTATTTTGAAGTAATTTGAGATACATAGGAAGTTATACAGAGAGTGAGGCAGGAATATAGAGTCACATTTAAACTGGAGACTGTTGAAAGAAAAAGAATGCATGTTCTATGCTTGGAATAAATGGCAGAAGGACCTTCCCTGACGACATCCATGGCTCCAGAAAGACAAACCAACATCAAACCAAATGCAGATCTGACCAAAACCCCTTCCCTGAAATTAGCTGGGACCCTCATTTAAATGCATTTTCATTGATCTAACACAATTTTAAGCACATTTTGAACCACCTGTGAACTTTTTTTGTATGCAAATTTGTGCTGGCCCAATAAGAGAAGAGCTTAGGAGTATGTTAATTTCTAGTCCAAAAATGTATATATGCTGTTTACCTCTTGATTTCTTTGCAACGGTGGGATCACCACCTTGCTATACTCATCAGAGTAGTAAGTGATTCTTCCTAACCCTTTCTTTGTTAGCTGTGTTTGAGCTAAAGGACCTGCTGAGCTGTGACAATATATATAGAGAGATCCTAAGTACCCTTCACACAGTGTTCCCCAATGGTTACCCCAATGGAGCTACAATACAAAATCACAACTAGTGATGTGACCTTGCTAAAATATGCACATACTGTTCAGTGACATCTTATCATGGCTTACAGATTCTTGAAGCCACCACCACAATTAAGATACAGAGCTATTTCATTACACAAAGATCTACTGGTGTCCATATTCTGTCAGTTTGAAATACATGTAGAAACATTATTTTCCTTTAAAACCTTGAACCCTTCCCACTAATAATAATTTTATTAAATACTTCTTTGATAGACATTAGATCCACATGCAGATAATGCTATGTGTTTTACTTCAGTTGTCAAACATAATTTGGAAAACTCGAGAAGGAAAATCTATTGTTCAATCCAGGTCATTTCTGTTTTTTTCTATCTTCAACTTCATTGATTTTTTTTTTTTTTAGTAGTTGTATTCTTCAGTTTTAACATTTCCATCTTGTTCTTCTTTTTATCTTCTAAGATTTTTTTTTTCTTTTTGGTTTCAAGTGTATTTATAATTGCTTCTTTGAATTAGTTTTATGATTCTTTCAAATCCTTGTCAGATAATTTCAATATCTGAATCATCTCAGTATTGTCATCTGCTGATTGTCTTTTTCTATTTAAGGTGAGATTTTTCTGGTTCTGGGTATTGATAGGACATTTTGGGTGAGATGAGACTTGGCTCTGGAGAGGCTCTGGCTCTGGGGATTGAACTCAGGGCCTGACTCATGCAGTGCTCTACCACTGAGCTATATCCCCACCCCCGCAGGCTTCCTCGGACACCACACTGGTGTGTGTGGGGCGGGGGGGGGGGGTGTCACTTAGTAATGCCAGGCAGGAGAGATGGCCTTGATTCTCCAATCACTCTCCCTTGCAAACCTGGGGTGGGGGAGTGGTGCTTCTCATAGCTGGGTGGACGTGGGATTTCAGACTCCTTAGGTAGCCTTCTCTGATTCTACCTGGCAGGGTCAAGTGGGGTACCTTGTTACCACTGGATAGGGAGTTACAGGCCTTTGGGCAGGGTCAAAAGCCTTGGTTTCACAATCCATTCTCTGATAGCACCCTGGTGAGGGTCCAGGGTTGGGGAGGGCTACCTCATCCCAGCTGGGTCTAAGTAGGAAGTCTAGGGTCCCTACTTGACCTAGAGAGGGGTGGGAGTTGAGCTGTGACTCACTAGGACAGTTATTGTCTAAAAGTTTTCTGTCTTGCTGGATTGTGTGTTTTTCTTTTATTAATTTTTTTGTTGATGGACTTTTATTTTCTTTATTGATATGTGGTGCTGAGAATCGAACCTAATGCCTCACACATGCTAGGCAAGTGCTCTACCACTGAGCCACGACCTCAGCCCTGGATTGTGTTTTTCTTCATGCTTTGGCTAGAGAGAACAAGCAGGCTTTGCTTTTCTTGGGACTTTGTCTATGCTTGTTGACATCCTGGGCTATAGTCTAGGACACAGGAGACAAGAACTCACTACCGTTTTCATCCCTTGAGTTTCAGGTTTCCAAGTTGGTTTGCTTTCTTTTCCAAGTTTCAGATTCTTCTTCTGTTGGTTTTATAGATAATGTGCAGGGTTTTTGTTTTTGTTTTTGTTTTTTGTTTTTTGTTTTTTTTTTTAGCTGTGCTTAGCAAGAGGAGTGGGGTTAGGTGAATCTACTCTTAATGCATCCACCCCATCTGGAATCTCTTGGTGCTGTACCAAAATTTAGGCAGGTGATGGCAGAGAGGGAGCCACGGGATTTGGAGCCCATGGACTGACATTAGTGTATGCACTCCTGCTTTCCACGCTAATGACCTTGGTTAGGTCACTTAATCACCTTGAGCCTCCATTTACTTACCAGGAATGGAAGTACAGTGATAATACCAAATTTATAGGTTTTTATGGGAATGAAATGAGCTGCTAAATCCATAATAACTTCTCAAACCATTAAGTTCCACACAGATGTGAGTAATTTAAATAAGAACTAGCATGGAAAGGGAGGGAAGTGAAGACAGGGTGTCTGGAAAAGATAAGCGGGTTCAATTTTTCACAGTTTGGTTCTTGTAACTCTCCTACAAACTTTCAGAGATCTGTAAATGAATTGCTTCTCTCTTTCCAACTCCAAGACAGTTCCCTGGAACAGGTGGATGTTGCTTTACATGGGAAAAGAGGCCATTCAATTTAGGATCTCAGGGGGAGGTGTTGATCCTGGATAACCCAAGTAAGTCCTAAATTCAATCCGTGTATTCTTTAAAAAAATTTTTTAAAAAAAGTTTTAGTTGTAGATGGACACAATACCTTTATTTTTTAATTTATTTATGTGGTGCTGAGGATCGAACCCAGTGCCCCATGTATGTGAGGCAAGCGCTCTACCACTGAACCACAAACCCAACCCTCAACGTACTCTTTTTTTTTTTTTTTAAACAATTTTTGTGCCAATTTTATTGAGGTACAATTAACATACAGTAAGATTTGCCAGTTTTTGTATGGGCATGTGGTGCTGGGGATTGAACTCAGGGCCTTGTGCATGCGAGGCAAGCACTCTACCAACTGAGCCAAATCCCCAGCCCCTCAACGTACTCTTTTAAGAGGGAGTTTTGAGGGAGACAGACACAGAGGGGAAGGTCATGTGGGGATAGAGCAGACAGACATGTAGCCACAAGCCACAGAATAACAATGGTCACTGGAGATGTGTAGAAACAAGGAATGCATTCTCCCACTAGAAGGAATAAGATATTGACCCCTTCAGACTTCTGTACTCCAAAACTGCTGGTGGAATTCCTGTTGTTTTAAACCACCACATTAGTGGTAATCTGTTGTGGTGGCCCCAGGGAACTAGTGTAGGAGGCTTAGCAACATGTAGTCCAACCCCTTCACCTAATGGATGCGGAAATAGGTGAAAAGGAGGGAAATGATCAAAGTTGGTGATTGGCATAGTAAATCAGGACCATAATTTTAGACTCTCACTTCCTAGTCCACTAAAGCACCGAGTTCATGTCTTTTCTTACAATCTTTATTGAGACACAGTTCATGTGCCATATAATCTAACTGTTTGAAGCAGACAGTTGAATGTTTTTTTTTTTTTTTTTAGCATATCTAGGGTTTTTTTCAAATATTGCTAAAATCACATTTCAGAATATTTTCACCACCCCTTCCCCGAAAGAAACCTGTATCAGTAGCAGTTTTATCTGTGTGGTTTTTTTTTTTTTTTTTTTTGGTTGTTGTTTGTTTGTTTGAGGCTACTGATCTCATCTCCCCAAACATATGGGACTTCTAAATTCCTTCTCTTTTGTATCCCTCTCTCATTATGAGGTCCAGTGCTTCATTGGAGACTGTGGTTTGACTGGCAAACCCACTTTGGATGAGGAGTTCATAATCCCTTACACTGTAGTTTGAGGCGTCCTTGGCGGAGCTCTGGACACTGGTGGTTCATGTCCAGGTTAGATTGCTGACCCGAAGGAAAGGGCCGTGCAACTCATTACCCCGTCACCATCACTGACAGAGATATCAAGCTGAATTGTCTTTATTTCTTTTTTAAAGAGGCAGGGCCCAGAAACTGAGTCCCATTGAAAGGCCAGGGAGCTTGAGCTCCCTCTAGGATCCCCAAGGCAAACCCCAGTGGTCGCTGACCACTCCATTGAGGGAGTGTTCACCACTGACTGGACCCGCTTCTATGGGTGACTTGGATTACAGTGTCTCGAAGGCTGCACAGAATAAATCAATGAAACATGGTATTGGGGGGACATCTTCTCTATATTCCTGGTGTTTCCTTTCTTGGGGCAGAAACCCTATTAAACCAGGACTCTTGGCCTCTCTCCATGTGGGCGTCACTCTCTCCTTGGGGTTTGGAAAGCACACACTTGCATGTTTCCTTTCTGTTACGTTTTACAGGAGCATGTCTCCATGAGGGAGATGCCTATAGTTTTCCATGGATTGTTATGATGATGTGGGTAAATCTACTCTCAAGCTTCCCTATTGGAAAGGTCACTGTGGCCGCCCACCTAACCCATACCTTCCAATATGGTGTTTGT